ATAAGGACAACCTATTTCACATTCAACGGGAACATCTCTGAACAAATATTTTGACTTCCCACGGGATCTCCGCTCCCATCTCTTTTGGCAAACGTAGACATGAACAAATTAGAAGAGAAATTCAAGATGTCACCGCTACCGCCAGCAGTGCTCATGCAGCACCTGAAAAATTACTTCACACTTTGGAAGAGGAAAACTGGAAGAATTTCTAAAGTTTATAAACCAGATTGGTGAAAAAATTAAATTCACGATGGAAGTAGAGGAAGGTGATTCACTCTAATGAAAAGGTGAAGATGAAATTCTTTAAAAATAAGTCAATACTCAATTTTTTGTCCATCACAACTGCCAAATAAAAGTAGGAATAATGAGGAACGTGATCATCAGAAGCCAAAGAGGAACGGATGTGGAATTCTGGGATGAAGAATTAAACAAATCGACGCGCAACGGCTACCCAAAAATAGGAGCCATGAAAAGCGGTTGGCAGAACGGAGACTACGAAAGAAGAGTAAGGACGGAGAAGTATTCACAAAAGCGGACAGGTCTGTCCTACTACGAACTAAGTCGAAAGCTACGGCCAACACTAAGGAAATGGAATATTTGGATGGCTACGAAAGAAGAAACAACACTCTTCACAAGTCTACCGGTGCAACATAAAATGATGGCCAAATTGGATGTAAAGCATGCGGTACCTACGAACAGAAATATTTGGCGAAATAGGGACAGAAAATTGCATACGAAATAGGAAAGATCAGAGGCTCTGCGGACCAGATTGCACAGACCTAAAACAAGAGCTATTGGAGAGCAGCAGAAAGTGAGACCTCATACGCCGAGGAAACAATGGAAAGAAGTAAAAAATCTAATGTACAGACAATTGGAGCAATTAATAATTGGCGATAGCTTTGCCGACTGCTTAAGCAAACTGGAGGAAAGTAAGAATAGAGCAAGACCAGCAAAAAGGAGACGCCTGGATCAAAAAGCTACCGCTAATCAGAATAAAAAGGATCGAGAGTGAGAAGAGCGTGAAGAAATTTCGAAAATCAAGCCAAGACGTCATCGGAGAGGAGAGTCTTTTCGGCGAAACCAGTAGACTTTTGCGCGCCTGCCATTTCGGAAACCGTGACAGAAGTTCGGCATTATGGACAAAATGTACTACAAAATGTACTAACATGGGTTTAATCGAGGAGACGACGCACGAAGGCAATGTCGAGTGTCTGCAGGCATGTGAATCGGAGTCTAGGCGCTCCGCTTGGTGGGGCGGAGGCGTATGTGCTTTTAGAGGCTTGAGAAACAGCGCTCTGAGTAGAACATACACCGCGATGGTAACCAAGTGAAATCAGTCAACCAAAAAGATAAGAAACGGAACAGCAGGTGTGATAGGGTCGCATTAAATTCGCTAAAATGGACACCCATTTTAACGAGTAGAATGTAAACAAGTCCGAAGTTGTGATACAGCGGGAGTGGGATAAGAATCTGTGAAGTAGATAGATGGACTAGGACAGAAATAAAAGTGATAGCATAACCGTTTCGGCGGAAAGTTTGTCAATGGATTGACTTCGCTAGTCTCTTTGACGAGTAGTAGCATCGTACTGAGACTGACAAGACTCACTGATGCTGGCGAGACGTCTGAGAATGTACCAAGTCCACGGTCTGAGGCTGGGAATTATGATAATTGTTATGGAAGAGGACTTCGAACAAGGTGCGTTCTACTAAGTCGCTCTGACAACAAGACCAAGCTGCAACAACTAAGTCAACCCATTTATATGAAAGAAACACACCATCTTGGTCTACATATCTTTAGAGAAATTAATTTGCATTTACACAGTCTAACATTTTTTCGCTTTCGGGAGGATCCAGCTGAGTGCAATTCGTTATGATCTAACCTTCCCTCCAAGCGGAAGACGAGCGTAGGACGTTTGGAATAAAACGAAGATATACAAAATTACTATTCGAGTATGTAATTGTCATCAGAATCGAGTTTAATGCAATTTATTAAATCTACCTTTCTTATTTGCTTAAAAATCAACCTGCAGAAATTTCATTGTTTAGTTTTTAAATTCCCTACGGTTTAGCATATATATATCTTCTGACAGGATACTTGATTTGCTGTTCTCATGGCCACCAACTGCAAGTTTTCTGAGTTTTCTCTAGACCCTTGGTCTCCATAAGCAACCACAAAATCAGAAAGGCATTATGCTCATAAGCCGGAAGTTTAAGTGCTATCTTGTATCATTTTTTTAAGAGAAAAATATGCAATGTATTCACCAAATTTCGTTTAAGGTGATAAAGGACTGGTAGAAGAATTTTCACACTATTATTTGTCTAAGAAGGCATTTTACCTAAGCCACATTAACTGCCTTTTGAAGAGATATCATATCTTCATTACAATCTGCTAGATATAATATATTTAATTATTTATTTTTGTCATTAAATATGAAGATTCTGAAGCTTAGATCCTAGGACGCATTTAAGTATTGTTTCGAGACTACCAGTAAATCAATAATATGAGATGTATTCACCCAATTTCGTTGAAGGTGCTGAAGAATTGGTAGTAGAATTTTCCCACAATGATATGCGTAAAT